GTGTTGAACTCACGCCAGGCGCGTGTGCATGCATGCCCAGGATCCCGAGAGGAGAATGGAGGAGAAGGGATTGCAACGTGGCCATACCCCCAGGGGGGTGATTTCTCACTTTCTGTCTCTCTGTCTCTCTCTGTCTTTCTGGCGAGCACACACACCCTAGAGCAAAAACCTCTAAAAAAATAAAGTTTAAAAAATTTCTTTATGAGACGGACACCATCAATGTGAGGCTGCACTCCACCCTTAGCCTCAGCAGCCCAGACCCTGGGGCACAGGTACCCAGCAGGTACTGGGCGGCCCCATGAGGCAAACCCAGGACCTTTCCATGTGGGCCAAGTTTTGTTTCTGCTGAGCTACCATCTGGTCTAGGTGCTGGTTCTAATCCTGCTTCTCTGACACGTCCTAGGACATGAACGAAAGTGTATGACCTGTCACTCTTCCTTTCTTCATCTTTGACAATCTCTCCCCAGGATCACGGTGACTGATGGGCAGTCACTCCCCATAAATGTCAGCGCCCGTGCCTCCCCTGAAGTCCCCATCCCATCCTGGGCACCACCCGTGGCCCAGTGGTTTGACCTAGGCTGTCTTCCTCCCAGGACTGGTTCCGTAATCTGGAGCCTGGAGGCTGGGCAGTGGTTCTCCCTGCTGCAGAGGCTGCTGGGCCTCTAATGCTGTGGTTTTGTAGCAAGTCTAGGCTTTGGAATCCCTCCTGCTCCTTCTTCCTCCTGGGGCTGGGCTCTGGTGATCCCTGTTGCTTCACCCTCTTGAAAAACAGACCAGCATTTTCCAAAGAGCAAAGAGAGCCAGTTAGTACGCTTGGGAAAAATGCCTGACTTTAGCAATAGAAAGGTTAACATTAAAGCAACCTTCTGGCACCATTTTTAGCTGTCAGTTTCAAAACATTAAATGGAATACATAAAGTCATTTCTAATAAAAATCGTTACTATACACTGCTGCTGCTGATGCGATGAAACTGGCTCTGTCATTTGGTCGCCTGCTTGCGAGCATCAGGGGTGGAGGCCTAGTCCGGTGGCTGTAAGTGCAAGCAGCCTCACTTCCATTTCTGGTCTTTCATCTTCCTCAGTTGAACCTCCATACCCGTGAAGTACTATTCCCTTTCCCTCCTCTCCCAGCACCTGGATTCTCCCCGCTTCTTTGTGTGTGTATGTGTGTGTGTGTGTGCGTGCACTGAGCAGAGAGAGACGGAGAGAAAGAAAAATGAGGGAAAGTGAGAAATCATGCCCCAGAGGGCATGGCTAGTTGCAACCCTGTCTCCATTCTTCTCCTGGGATTTTGGGTGCACGTGTCTGTCATGGTTTTCAAGCCACCAGGTCTAGGACTCGAACCTCACAGGCAGCTATGTGGGACCCTCCTGAACCTCCATGCTACCCGCAGACCGCTCCCTATTCTTCGTCTGTACTCTAGGTACTTCATGTAAGTGGAATAATGCGATCTTTATCCTATCAGGTCTGACTTACTTCACTGAGCATAACGTCTTCAAGATTCGTTCATGTCTTAGCACGCGTAAGGCTGCATATGCCATTGTACGTACAGATCGCGTTTATTCATCTGCCGATGGACGCGTGGGTTGCTCCTACTCTGGCTACCGGAGCCGTGCTGCTGTGAGCATGGGTGCACAGACACCTGCTTGGGTTCCTGCTCTTAAATCAGCTAGGTATATACCCAGAAGCGGAGTGGCTGGATCCCAGGGTAATTCTGCTTCATTCTTTTAGAAACCAGGGGCGAGGGAGCAGCAGGTGATGTGGTGGTTAAGGTGCTGGACACTCCCACGTGGCTGACCAGGGTTTGAGTCCTGGACCTGGCAGCTTGTTTTCTTACTTTCTCTCTCTCTCTCTCTCCTCTCTCTCTCATCAACATGAAATCTATGAATGAATAAAAAATTTAAAAAAATACTGATGAGGACAGTGTCAAGTACAGTGAGAACAACTAACCAATTAAAAATAATAAACCAGGGGGGCAGACGGTATGATAGTTATGGGTACTGAACTCCCACATGGCCGACTGTAGTTCGAGTCCTGGACTTAGTGGCTTGCTTTCTCACTTTCCCTCTCTCTTTCACTCTCTGTCTCTCTCTGGTCAAATTAAAATAAATACATGTTAAATAAAAATTTTTTTAAAAGAAAGAATCCACTGGGACCAGCAATTGGCATAACGGCTACATCGCTGGATTCCCATGTAGTCGGTCACGGTTTGAGTCCTGAAACTGGTGGCTTAAACTCGCCGGGCGCGTGTGTGTGAGTGCCCAAGATCCCGAGAGGAGAATGGAGGAGAAGGGATTGCGGCGTGGCCATCCCCCTTGGGGGGTGATTTCTCGCTTTCTGTCTCTATGTCTCTGTCTTTCTGGCAAGTGCACGCGCCCTATAGCAAAAAACTCTAAAAAAAAA